ATTATATGTATAAATTTAGTTACATTTTTTTTGTTGAGAAAAATATATTATATACTAAAATATAAATATATTTAAAAATCGGGAATTATTATTGGAAAAATTCGAAGAGTAATTTAAAATATAATTCTCCTATGCATTTTATATCGATCGTAAAATACTTTGAACAAGAAATTTAATCGCATCCACACAATTTGATTGAACGTTTAAGACGGAGCAAGTGAAGGTTGCAAAAACGCGAAAATAGATAGCCTGACGGCGTATCCGTGAATTGCACTCAAATCCGCATCCGTCGGCTCTCGGTTGCCCTGCAATATCGCGGCCACTCAAGGGCTATCGAGGTTTCCGAGGCTTTCTCATAGCTGATGGGGGTGGTTTGCCCATCTACGAGACTACGATGAGACCGGAAGCAAGAACGAGACGCTCACCCTTCGACTCAGACCGGCTGGTCTGCTCCTCCGCTTCCTCTTTTGCCTTCTCTCTCTCTTCCGCCCCTTTTCATTCGCTTTTCGGCATTTTTTCATATCACATCATGCACCGCTCTTCCACTCGTGTTTGAGAAGTTACGAAATACGATATTAGTTTACGTCACTCTTTAATTATAAATACTGTATACACTCGTATTTGTGTTTAAAAAGACAATTTATAATTCTCGTTTAAATGTTCGGATGTGTAGAATATATTTTATATTAGATAATCTGCTCGAGTGCTTTTTCAAGTAAAAGTTATATAATTTTAATTGCTACATATAGTAGTATTAAAAAAGAAAAAAAATAAACAAGCAAGTAAAAATATATATGGCATCCACCCTTGGTTTTTGCGCTCGAGCAGCAATAATTAGAAATAAAGAATAAATAAAAATAATTAGAATTATCGATGATTCAGTAATCAGAACTTAGATAGGGAATCTCGATTTGACGATTAATGTTGTTCGATGCAGTATGAATGTGAGGAGATACTCGTTGAATTTCGCACCTCGTCCCACCCCTCGTGGTCGCGATGGCAAGGAGCTGATACAGTGTCCCACGTCGTCCTGTGATGGCATGGGTCATGTTTCAGGGAACTACGCTACCCACAGAAGGCAAGGCAACATCGACATTTACACCAAGACTTTGACGTGAAAGCTCGATTATGTATATATCGATATGGCGATGCAGCACGCACGCACGCACGCTACATTACAGAGACACGCACACGCATCTACACCTACATACGTACAGATAATTAAAAAAAAAACTTAATTTGTTGGTTTTTATTCACCAACGAAACCTTATATTCATTTTAAAAGCAGTAGATGTCCTGAAACAAACACATACGCATACATACATATATAACATATATATATACGCAAATATACAAACGATATCAAGTAAATTTGCGAATTACATTTACATGGATGGTTCTTGCATCGATGCATATTGATGGTCCGTGGCGTAGTTGCTTCTTAAGTGTATTGCGACATATACAAACATACGTCTAGAAATTCTATCTTCTCCTAGTTGAACAGTTGAGTTGTACACTTGTTCGATATTATGTTGCTACATTATATCTATATATTTAACATACATGTGAATATCTCCACTATAGCTCTATCTTGCATAAGTATATACGATATATGGCCTTTATTTTTCCATTACACAAATCACCTCTCTTTCTTTTACCTCCTCGTTTTATACCTCCTACATTATGCGATATACAACAAAGTGTGTAGATGAGCTTCCGTAATTGAATGAACTTTCTTTTTCTCCTCGCTGTTTTTACCCGACCCCTACGAAAAGGGATGGCAAAATCAAAGTTTCCGGCATTGCGAAGAAATCGGTATTGTGCAAGATTGAGCCGCTTTCGACCGCGAGACTCATTCGCTTTTGTGCGCATACGTAGTGATTAATCAAAACCGACTACCCGTCCGTTGAAAGCCGCTTTCGCCAGCCTCGTGTGGGCAGCTTCGTAGCGAACTGTTGCCGATGACCATGTCATAGCAGAACCGTAACGATCAAAGGTACCACGAAGCGATGTGATATCGCTTTCGTGTGACACACTTCGTGCAAAGTCAATTGGCAATTGGCGAGTTTCATTGGGGTCAGGTGTGAGTGTGCTCCCCGCTCTCCCTTTCGATGTTCTTAGAGTAAGACCGATCAGTGCGAGTCCGAAGCGCGATTGATCTTGACGAGCGACACCTCATGAGTGATCCAACTGGAACACGGCGTTGCCATTTGCATGCTACCAACACACGATTCGCCCTCCCCCTCTCCGTCATCATTGATCACAATTCGCGCGACATTCGAGTTCGTCCTCAGAGAGCGTAAGATGCGAGTCTTAAGTCTCCCTTTCCCTGAATGTCTTCGTTCGAACTGGACGCAAGGCAAGTCGTCCAAAACTAAGTCGTATCAAAACCAGTGCTGATAAGCTGCACTGATCTCGGTGAGCCAACGTTTCTCTTGCCGCTTCAATTATTATGTATATATTTACACATTATAGATCATAGCAACGATTAATTATAGTAATATATTATTATCCGATGGTGTTATATCACTCGTATGATACGTAGACGATTTCGATCGCTTCAGCGAACGAGATGTTCGTTACTCATCGAGATCTAATTGCCGAGATGTGTTTGATCGTCCTTCAAGTTGTGCAGCTTAGATCATCATCAAGTGAGTACTCACGACATCGTGGCAACGTCGCGTAAATTGCATGCGATGTGTTGCTGAAACGATGGTTGGACGTTTCTGAGGTGTGCGTTCGTGACCGAAGCCATGAGGATTAACGCGTTGCAAAATCTTATAGCAGATACAATAACGACAATTATAATAGTAATCGAATTTTGGAAATAATACATTTTTGTAAATCCTCAGAACATGCAGCGCGCGCGGTCTTCATGGTATTTTTGCAACGCGTTAAAATAGAAGAGACTCTTCTTTCCTTTGCAGCCTCTCCGGATGTCCACGAGCGGATCGCTCGCAAATCCAGGCGCATTCCCAGGAGCTCAAGTGTCCTACGCCAGGATGTGATGGTTCTGGACATGTCACAGGAAATTACTCGTCGCACAGAAGTTTATCCGGCTGTCCACGAGCCAATAAACCGAAGAGTAAACCTCGAGATGGTCAAGATTCTGAACCTTTGAGGTCAGTCAGCGCGAGTTTGTTTAATTATACACTGTTTATTGTATCTTTTATTCCGCGCAATTAACACGAATCAATCACGTTTTCTATTTTTTATTTACCAATATCCTCAATAATGCAGAAAATCCTTCATCAATCTCATTGCTTTTTAATAATTAGTACTAATTGAATAACAAAAATATGTCGAATATCAATATCTTTTCAATTATATTTTACCAAAATAATGTCTCTCGAGATACATTTATCTTATTTGGCAAATTAGAATTTTTCTATCATTATATTTTTAATTATTACAAATTTATTTCGATTATCACGATTAAGATTTCTCTTTCCTAACTATTCATGCAATATTGAAAAGCGCGGTGCGCATAGCAAATATAAATTAATACGATTCGAGGGATTGAAAAGAGCGAGGGCTATCGCGAGCTCGGTATAGGATTTGGTTTCACGATGCAATTACATCTCGCAAGTTCTGCAATTTGAGGGTGCGGTAGTAATCGCGATCTCAATTTGCGTTTTCGTCGCGTTCGCACGTTGCACGTAGCAACTAACGCAGGTATCTTCTCGACCGCATTGCACGTACCGGGAGGCTGTCGCGCTAGACCGAGAAAGGGGAAATCCTGTTCCCTTGTAACCGCATCCTAACTCCTTTCCCCTTACACTTCGCGTAAAGGCGAAGACGCTGACTAATAACTGGCGGTTTCCGCTCGTTTCACGCTCGCTCTGTGCGGATGGATTATGTGGTGTTGGTGACGTTGGTGGTGTTGGCATTTTGGACTACAGATGTCCAATCCCGGGTTGCGACGGGTCCGGCCATGCCACCGGCAAATTCTTGTCGCACCGCAGGTAAGGCTCGTAGGAATCGTTAGCGTGAATCATAGGAGAATCACATGCTGTCTTCTAGATAAATTAAACTTGTCCAGTTACGATGATTAACGTAAATTACATATTATATGTTCCAATTTTAAATTTTATGCTAGCTTATTAAAAACATTGATTACTATCCGGTATTAAATTACATAAGCCATTTTTTTAATGATATATGCATATATCTTATACGAACAATCGTGATTATATCATCATTCGTATATTTGTCACATAAGAATTCAATCTTGATAACATACAATTAAATTAACATCTGTAACATTTATTTATATACAATCCTCAAAATAATTAAGGGGTTTAAAAATTGTGCACAAATAGGCAAATTTTAAATGTAAGCTGTAACTTTGTTTCGAAAAAATGATTCTCATTTTATAAATAAGTACAAATCGATCATTTTGAACATATGGATCACTATGAAGAAATTATTATAGCAAGTCTGTGATTTTTTGCCAAGTTTGGAGTACTAGAAGGCACAAAAATTTCTGTCGATAAAATATTTTTAATCACTTTACGTAACCTTTTTTCAAAGTTTAAACAAAAAGGAGAAAACTTGCGATTTTCTTCGTTATTTTCATCTATTTGTAAAAAGTTCACGAGTTAAAAAAAATTCAGTCACTATATTATACTATAGACCAAAGATTCAGCTTTAAGAATCTATTCTTAAAATTGCTGTACGATGCTTTTTAACGGAGTTATAAACGATTAAGTGAAAATGACCATTTTCTCTTCAATTTGTGATAAGTCGATAAGAAAAGATCGAAATTTGAATTTTAAAAAACGATTTTGCAGAGAAAACTTTAGGCTTTAACGTGAAAATGTCAAAAATTTTCTTAAATCTTCTTGTGCATGCGACATGTCTACAAAGTGAGAAGAAAATTTTCTATTTTGTTATATTCGTCGTTTTCTGTTTGTAAAAAATATCACAATTGAAGAAAATGAAAAAAGCTACAACCTTTCGAAAGTAGAGATTTCAAACTTTAAAACCCTTTTTAAAATTTAAATTCTCATTTTTCGAAACAAAGTTACAGCTATTTAAAATTTACCTATTTTTGAACAATTCTTTTTGATCCCTCATAATTATTTTGAGGAGTCTATATTGCGTGTGATTGTTAATGTTTTCCCATTTCCTTATTACAGTGCATCTGGATGCCCGATCGCGAACAGGAACAAGATGCGAGTACTGGAATCTGGTGGTACAGTTGAGCAGCACAAGGCGGCCGTGGCTGCCGCGACAGCCATGAAGTTCGAGGGTGTCAATTGTCCCACACCCGGATGCGACGGACTCGGTCACATAAACGGATCTTTTCATAGCCATAGGTCCCTGTCGGGCTGCCCAATAGCCAGCCACGCTGTGAAGAAACCAAAACCGGAGGATAATATGAGCATGTACAGCAGAGGAATCACCGGTGAGGATCGAGTTGCCTCTGATGATGACACCACCGGCTGTCGATACTTAACGATCGAAGAATAAAATTGTCAGAATACGCTGTGCGTGAGACCAATCGTATTACGAGAAATTTGATCGAAACTTTATTCAAAGAGCATTCGTAAGCTCTATCTCTCTTCTCGCGCGCAGCTGCCAAAATTTGAGAATGACCGCGAAGATGCGCATTTTCTTATCAACGCGCGACAGAAAGAGAAAAATATGATATAGAGTAGTTTAAGACCGTTTAAGTTCGCTCTCTCTTTCTGTTCTTTTGCTTGCGCATCGCGCTCGTTCGGAATTAATCGTCTCGACAAGGCTCATTTTTATTTTTGAACGTTTGTGTAAAGACAAATTTCAACGTAATATTGCCATCGCCTTTTCCCGTAGATTGATTGACGTCTGGACGAGCGCGGTGCTAATATACATACGGAATTATGTATCTTTCTTTGTAAACTTGTGCATATCTAACCTTGTACTTGATCCCGTGCTACGCCATACTCTGCTCTTCACGCAATGATGTGCTGTCATACCAATGAGGGTCCTCTTTCCTCGTCCTTCCATTTTTCTTGAAAACCATCAAAAGAAAAAAAAGTTCGTTTCTTTTCATTTTTTTCTCTTTAAATATTTTCCCGTTTCGACCTTTTTTTCTCATTGTCAATAATAAATGTGTTCCTGGTTTTCGACTAAATATCGCGACTAATTAGATATAAAACTATAAAACAGAGAATGTTACAAATAACTTATAAAAGAGAGAAAAAGAAAGATAGACAGGAATCACTAGAATCGAATATAACGCGCGCGCGACGTTAATTTACGTCTCTAATTTTTTTCCTTCCTTTCTCGATTCGGTCCCGCGCAGGAACCTCTTCCTTCGTTATGTACAAGACAGAAATATAAAATCAAAAACAACCGTATGTCTTAATGATGGAAAATAATATATTCTGATTTATTCTGGGATTAGCTCCTTTCATGTTGAGCTTGGAGCACGGTTACTTTTGAAGGTAAGGGACTGACGTATTCGCCACTTGTTTCCTATGTGTTTTCGGTGTTACATACAGAATCCACACACCAGTATGTTTACTTTTACGAGATGACGTCCGAGTGTTGGCAATATATTTGTAAAAAACGTATGTACTTCTTTGGCACAATAAATAATTATATAAGCTTCTATCTCGTCCAATAAAATATCGCGTATCGGCGCCAGCACTCGGTGTCTTCTGTATTTTTTTTCTTCTATCTGGTATGATGGCACCTCACGCTAATTCCCAAAAACACCCCGACATTATCCCGATCATCCCACGGCACTCCTGTCAGGTTCGTGCGTCTCTTACTGAGTCGGAGCACACGCTTGATCGAACGAGCCTCAAAATGTCTCTCGCTTTTCTGCCGAGATATCACTTTGGCACGAACCGTATGCAGAAGAAACCGTACCGTCCCATTATCTCAAGACAAGCTATATTGTAGTGACTTGGGCCGAGCGAAGTGAAAGAGGGGGGATAGAATATATGTACATAGTGGATTTGGGGCATTTTATGTATTCCGATTTAAGATCGCAATGTTTCACAAATCGCATCGCCCAAGTCGCTGCCTGAATTGATCCTTGACGTAATGTAAATGCTCGCTAACATCTCCACATGTATCGCGTATGAAAATCCCGCAAATCTATTCGAATTTTTTCGATCTGATGCTTTTTGATCGTGATTGTTTAAAACAAAAAAAAAGAGATACAGAAAGCCAAAATACTTCTGTTCAAATATGTAGAGTTTACGAGCTTTCGTCGAACTGGGGGACTCGAATCGTGCCGGTTTCCAGTAGTTTTCTCAATGATATGTTGCGCCCGGCAGAGCTGTTTCGTCTGCATCTCATTGCGACCGCGTTTTCGCAAGATCAAAGAGCGTACGAATCCGCACGCTTAATCGCCGGGAAAACAATCTTCTGGAAACCGGGAAATACGATTCGTTTTTGATTCGTAACGTGACCGGGCACCTTATCAAACTGGACCGTGTCTGTCCTGTCCTCAGGGTTGGAAGCCGGTGGTCCGGCTCACGGGGGTGCGGTAGGCACGGGTCAGGGTAACTCGAGCGGTAGCGGGACCGCCGGTGCCGGGGGCGAGGATCTCTACACACTGGAGGCTGAAATCACGGAGCTCCAGAGAGAGAACGCCCGGGTCGAATCGCAAGTCTTGCGCTTGCGCTCGGATATCACCGCCATGGAGAATCAGCTCAAACACGGTGAAAAGGTCAGTGTTTGCTCAGTCGGCACCATACCGTGTGTCGAAAATAAATCACTAATCATCCAACGAAAAGTAGATATTTTTTTAGAAATTTTTATGTTGATTGATTGGATGCTTGTCAACTAATTGCAAATTGTCACGGTATTTTCATTATATATTTTTAAAGTTAAATTACACTTATGTTTGTGCAATTATTATTTATTTATTACAATATAATTATGCATTATGCATTGTTAATTGTGTCTTTTTTTAGAAATTATATTTGCTTTGTCTATTCTACATATAAATTAATCTGTGTGACAGTAACTTATGTTTCATGAACCATATGTTGATATCACTGAAGTAATTTAGGTCGATCATTTCACACACGTTAAAGATGCACAAGAAAAAAATTCATGAAAAAATTGAACTTTGCATTTCTATTATAGAATTTATTATAAGTTAAATGCAAATAATTTGACTGCATCTAATCAAAGAAATTGTTTATTATCATGATTTATCGATCTCGTTAGTAAGTACGGTCTCTGTCGAAATAACGACAGAGTTATCATGCATATGCACTCCGGCATTGATTAACATATTCTTTTGCAGGAAACGTCATCGATAAGCCAACGCAACAACAATCTGACCGAATACTATCAGTCGCTGCGCGACAACATGATCACCCTGCTCGAGCAAGTGCGAATACCGAACGCCCCGGGCGGGCCGCAAGAGAAGATAGGCCACGAGAACTTCGACAGTTACCTGACGAAGCTGCAGACTCTGTGCACCGCCGACGGCTACTGCGCCGACGAGAGCAACCGGCCGATTTACGAAACGGTGAAGACCGCATTGCAGGACTTCACGGTTCTGCCGACACCCATCTGAGACCATCCTTAAAGATCAACGATCAGATACTGAGCGTCGCTCGGAGCTAGCACGAAGAAACACCGACTCGACGACGGTGTACTCTTCGTGACGCAGTCATACCTTTCTCTCGTTCACACCGGATGCGAATGAACGATGCCCGGCAGCCTCTTCCCTTCCCACGCGAAGGAGACCTGCGTCGATCGTGACTAAGCTCCGCGAATCGGCCTACGACTTGGGAGAAATCCGACTTCGTGACACGCGATTCTTATCCGGATGCTGGGCGGAAAATCCGCCAAAACGTGCGTCATACATCGGACTATGACGTTACGCGACGTCAACCGGTCGCTCCCGCGATCACGGCGTAGGTGAAGAAAAAAAGTCGTCGTGGTCGGTCGAGCACACCGACCGGCGCATCGTATAGAGCTGTTACAGTAAACGTTGTAATAACGGCATCTAAAAACTTGGATAACGGCTCCAGGAGCATCCATCCGAGCTAAGCTTAACGGACTATTATTACGAGGGCGATGTTGCTCATATAGCGCGATATCTTTTGTACATAATGAATCTGCGTCAAATATCACACGGCGGTCGTTGCCGTCATGCATATGTACATACACATACATACACACGCAACGGGAGAAATGCATTTATATATTATTCGACAGGTTGATGGTTATACTCTGCTCTAAGTCATGTAAAAAAAAATGATTAATTTAGCTGTATATCGGACTCTTGCCGCACACTTATCGCTGTGTAACTGTGTTATTACCGATTTAAGCGATCAGCGCGCGATTTACGAGGGCCGGCACGGTCCACCAATGACGCTTTTGCTGAACCCTGACGATTACTTATAAATCAATTTATCGGCTAACTATTTACCAGCTAGTCACTATTATTATTATTATTATTATTATTACTACTACTACTATTATTACTACTATTGTAACTGTTACAACCAGCCGGATCGTTTTTAGCGACTAATCCAATCGTCATTATCGCTACCACTACTCTTACTACTGTTAATAAAATATAGTCACGAGTGTATACCAACGTATTTATATAATATTAACAAGTCTACGAGAGAAATGTGCGACGCGTTGTCCATATAGGCTGTACATAGTCACAAAGATATACAATTATTATAAGAACAAGAATCGCTGGCGATAATGAGCTGCGATTTCGGAGAAACAGCGGGAAAACAGAAGAAGATGTTTGCGAGGTCATGCGCGGCCTCTTCATCAACAGCTGTCAATCCTAAATACTGTCGAATTTATGGCTGTCCAAGGTGAACGATCGAGCCTCGATCGTTTTACCAAGGACACGAAGAAGGATCGAGCTTCGCGTTCCTTCAGTATACAGTGCGACCAATTCGGTCGGAGGATATTCGTTCGTACGTGCAATAATTTCCGGATGCGTCGCATTCTCTCCTGTACATTCGCGGTTACTTATTACGTCGTGTACATTTGTATCGGCGCGGTTGTTATTGTTTCGTTAATCTATTTTTGTTCCTATTTATTATATGTTTGTTTTGCTACTGAAACGAGAAATGCGGGGAAATATTACAAGAATTTGTAAATATACCGAAAATTCTTCGCTCATATGAATCAACCGCTTCTCGTTGAAATTGCATTAGAATAATTTCACATATGTGATTATGATTATTGTTATTATTATGATATATAAACCGGAAATATCTCCGTTTTGTCGCTGGTTGACTTTTTACACTCAGGTGTAAATCGATCGACATAAATGCAGAGAAAAATTTTAATACCATTAACAGTACAGTGCATAGAAACGAAGAACATGATTGTGGATTCATTGAAAGAAATATAAATATAAAAAAGTATCTGTTAATGGTGCTTACAAATTATTAATCTATCATACGTATTTATTAATAATCAACATCAGTTGTGCTGCGGAGAAAAAAAATGCTTTCTCTATCAATATATCATAACATATCTCAGATATTTTTAATATTAATTTTTTATTCTTATTCTTTTTTTATTAAATTGATCATTATAAAATAGCAGACATGTCGATCGGATAATCAATGATTGCTAGCATAAAACTATATTACGTTAAAGTTTTATTATGTTCGCTACAACTATAAGTGTTGTATATAAAGAAAGAGAAGGAGTTATACGAATGAAATAATTGTTTGTCTGAGAGGCTGATGAGATGGGAGAAGCGTGCGGAAGGAGTAAATATACTTTAACCAAACCACCGTGTAGTGAGAGTAATAACAAATTAAAGATAGCGATAGTCGATCGACAATTACGAATAATCTTGACGTTATAATTATTCTTGTCACTATCATTGTCATTATAATTACCATCGTCATCACTGTCGTCAAGCATTTTTTTATTTCGAGTTAGTATAATTGGCAAGTAGACGAGAATGAGAAAAAATAGATAATCAACAATCGACAGTCACTATATATTTTGATTTTTTTACCTCTTGTTTCATTGTAATATACTATGCAATATTTATTATTGTGATCGTCATTATCATCTACTAGTCCTCATCATTATTAATGCTATTATTATTATTTATGTTATCATATTAATATTATTATTATTATTATTATTATTATTATTATTAGTTTTATTATTAATAAATTGCTGTCAAATTATTGTGGCTATTCCCGTTACGTTTCTGTCACTATTATAATTGTTGCCGTTAATGAAAATCTACAGGTATATAAGTTCAATAACATGCTTTAAGTAAGTATAAATGTTACTCCGATTGAATAAAGGGTATTTATCGATGAATATTGATCATTTCTCCCATACCTTGCATATTCGAGAAATATGTTCCTAATACTCATTTGAAAAGATGTCACGCGATATGCAAATAAATATCAATTTAATAAGAGCGCAATGGTTTTATAAAAAAATATACTTTATAAAAATACACAATCTATGCATTTACATTATCAAAGTATGTAAGATATTAAATAATGAGCAGTTTTTTCCTTGCATGATTCAATAGAAATAAAAATCGTAAAAGGAGGGCGTAAGATAAAAAACATTCATATAGAAAAATCTCATATTCTCTATTTGCATTTTTTGTTATAAAAAAGTCTTATTTTATAATACAAGCATCGCCATTATATTCGACAGTGTTGTTCCATATTATCTATACGTATATATATAATATTATAATATATCACAATAAAATGGACGTGCGAATGACTCGCATGAGTGTACTGTGCACGCGTGTGCGTATTTAAAGAAAAAGATACTGAGACGATATGGCAGAAGATCATTCTTCAGTAAATTACGCGTAGCTCAATTCGCAACGCGCTAAATGCTCTATCATTAGTATGATTCGTCTTCATCATCGTAAGATGCGATTGTTTTTGAATACGCGCATTTATAACATTTATGACAAACGAGAATGTGAAAATTCATCGGTGCTTTTCTCTCCATTCATTTGATATAAAAATAGATTTAATAATCAAATTGTGTGTTTATTCCAAAAATGAATTAAATTTTTGAACACAATAAATTTTAACACTGCAGACATAAAAATCGATGCAATTTATTTTAGCGGTATTTTAGCTATATTATTTACCAATAACAATCTCATCACAGAAATTAAAAATGTATATTCTGTAAGTTACATGGTTGCTCCGTAAATTAACTTTAAGAGTCCGTCGTTTTTGTAGATTAGCTCGGTATTAATCAGACCGCGATTCAAACCATTAAATTAAATGAGCAGAGGACCGCGAGCTAAACAAAACGTTCGAGTGTCAAAAATCGTTACTTTATTGTTGCTCTTACGGCAAGTGCGATCGATAGAAACCGCGCGGACACTATGATATAATTCACCGAGGAATATTCTCTCGTCGAGATTGTTATTGAATTATATTGAAAATAAAAAAGTATGGTATATATATACAATATATATACATATATATACCTTTACCTTTGCAAGTGTGTATTGTGTACCAGTACGTCATTGTATACCATATCACCTATTTCCACTTTTTCCGTTTTATTCTACGAGAGATCAACAAATGAAAAAATGATGATCGGATTTGATAATCGCAATTCTTTAGGCCGTATCGAGTGAACTCAGATATCGTCATGATAAATGAGGTTTGTTCAATAATTCCTAGTTTCTTTCTAAATTATAACAAGAGTAATAACGTAGTTGTAAAGGAAGAATTAATCGTCTTGAATGACGTTGGTGCCAACAACGTTCCACAGTTGTCAAATAATTAATAATCAAGTAATCAACATCTAAGATGCAAAGAGATCCTTATTCGATTCTTGCTTGTGGAAATGTCAAACGATTTTCGAATGGCTCGAATCTCCATTTCTCCTCTGGCAAGATCGTATTCTGCACAGCTACGTATACGTTCACGCATTTCGCAACAACGAAAACAAACAACGAAATTGTCGTACGATCGTATTGTTTGCAATCTGCAACTTGATCGGTCTTCGCAATTGACGTCGGTTCTCACGTCGTAAACCTTCGTATTTATTGGTCTCTCTATTCCTAGCGTTATAATCTCACCTGGAACAGAGAAAGATCGATTCGAACAATTTTTTACAGTTTCTTTTTAATTTAAAGAAATATATTATAAGAGTATTCGCTAAATAATATTATCTTATTAACAAAATTAATAAAACCGAGAATACTCAATATTGTAGTCATAAAATGAAATATTAATGCATCAACATTTTGAAACAAAGACACACATACAGGAATATACATATTCCATTCTACGTGTAAGGAGAGAAAGAAAATGCGTTTTACGTATAGAGATATCAAACAGCTGTTTTTCTGTTACAAGGTGACATTGATTATTCATGTTCCGACATATTAATGCAGCACGTTCAAGAGTTTACGAATGATCTTACCTTGCGTACGGCGGTGGCGGTGTTAACGTAGGAGAAACGATACTGATGGTTGTCGGGATGATTTGTGCTGAGGATAACGGCGTGCTACCATTGCTCAACCTGACTAATTGACTAGGATTTAGCTTGATGGCATCATCGTAGCTCGGTGGTGCGTCCGTCACCGCCTCATAATCCGGCGGCTTTTGTCTCGAGACGCCCGAAGGTTCCTCGATGGAAATCACATGGATAGGATCATCGATCTTTAACAGAAAGAAAGGATCGATTCAATTGATTTCGAAATATTTTATGACATTTTTGAGTACATAACTTTGCAAGGTTCGCGTTTTGCTGCGCTTATCTCTATGCAGGTTTTCGTGATAGTCAATTTTAAGAATCAATTTGTTGACATTTAATTGTGATCGCTGTTTAAGAAATTATATGTTTGACTAACTGGTTTCAACAATTTTGAAGAGATTGCTCGCTCTTTAAAGATTTATGAGACATGGCGTCCTTCAATTTTTTCAAGAATCTTACGACTGCCTTGTATTTTGCAACTTAGGAAATTTTATAAAGTTTCGTAACTAAAATGCAAACATTTCTGCAAGTTTGCTATTGTATTTTTAGAATTTGTGATGCATCACTTCTCAGCTTCGAAGATTCAGGAAAAGAGTATTTAACTCTCAAGACTTCTCACAATTACATAAGTTAACAATGTTGGGAATTCCAAAGCCTTATATATTTAACTTCAATTAAAATTCATTACAATTCACAACACGCAAAAATAAAAAAAAAAAAAAAAATAACATAACACAAAAATAACGCACGGTTTATTGTGAAAATATATCATCGTCGAAGTCTATTTAAAGTATCCAGATCGACGTGCCGGCCCCGCACAGTTTCCGCGATATTCTACGCGCCACGTTATAAGGATATTCACCCGGAAGTGCACATCGCGCTATATTCGTCGTAGGTCGTCTATAGATATCTACCTACGTATTCCCAGCTACTCTTCGGAAACATTGTGGCTGGCTTGAATGTAAGTCGCGAAAGGGCGCGCGCGAGATATACATATAGGGTGACGCACGAATGCGCGCGGTCGACAAAAATAACTCTGGCTATTTGCGGCGATAAAGAAAGCCTCACTGGAAAATTGCATAATGAGCCTAAGTGGAAACGCGAGGTGAATGACTGTGACCCCGAGAGTAATTTCCGACCGCGCGAAATTTCGCTAAAGCACTCGTGCTCGCTTCGATTATTTATCGCCGAACAGCAAACGCGAGCATGACCTCGAAGATTCGAAGAATCAACACTGATCACACTCTGCTTCTGTTTAATCAGACATATCAAATAACACGAAAATAACATTCTTCGTTGGTACATATATCGCCTCATATATCGTTTCCGTCACGATAAATGAATTGCGAGAATAATGTGATACCAAATATAATGAGATCATCGCATCGCACATGTCACGTAAAATTTAGAAAGTATATGTTAATTGTCGATGTAATATAATATTTGTCAAATAATATTTAACTCATCTGCAATTTAATTATTAAGCATTAATGAATCTTACGTTGATAACTTTTGAGTAACTTTCAATAAGCGAAGAAATTTTTCAGAAACATACGTGACATTAAAAAAGATGTAGATACGTTGAAATTATATTGTCACGTATGTCATATGGATAAAATTTCAAATCTTTATCAAATTTATTTGAAACACTTCTCAAATTTCATATGCATCGCTTTTCTTCTCCAGAAATAGTTTGATAAATCACTATCTAAGGGTTATCATGCTTCAACGAGCAAATAAATAAATTAATTGATTCAATTGGATGTCTGAGAATGAGCTTGCAGTTCTTGATTTGAGAAACCCTACTTTTTAAAAATAGACAGCATTGCGTGATAACACAGCGTAGTGAATATAACAGTAATACACGATATCTTCGCACATACATGACACACATAATGACGCACATATACATAACGAAATATGTCATGCGTTTTTTTACAATGAGATATAAACGTGTATATATAGATATTTAATTAACTATTAAATAACAATATAATGACGGCAAGCAACACTTTTTAGGATTCAAAATATAGTTATATCTTGCAAATTCACCTCGCGTTGCCTATTTAAGAATTAATATTAAAATTGTAAGACAGTAAGAGACAGATATAGCCAAGGATAAATAATTATAAAAATAGTTCAACATATGCTTCCGGATAAATATCCTTACAACAGCAATCGACATTAAAGATTGCCGTGGCCTTTTTTATACGTTGCACCTATATCTTTTTTTTTGCATAAATAAAGTATCTCAACTCAAGTATTAAACTGGATGTTCTTTCGATAAAAAATATTCTTTAACTAATTTCGAATCAATTTTTTCTTAATGAAAATACCGAGATATCAATAATTCTTAAGTGTTGAGAAAATACTTTTATGATAAACTAAACTCTTTCTGCACAATACAATAAATCGAATAGATTTTTTACTTTTTCAGTTTTAGTTTTAAAGGTAAAACAATTAAATTTTAAACTCTATTAGAATATATAATATACAAATAATATTAAAAAATTGCAGGCAAATTATTTCTTCAATTTTTTTAAGGAAAAATCGACTTGAAATTATGATTAAAAATTTTATTTAAAACATCCAATTTAAAAATATTCTACATAATATAATGAAACATAACGAATAGACAGTCATTTGCAAATGTACGTTTATTTTACGTGGAGACTATTTGCCGACAATTTCTACGAAGAAAAATGGTTTAGGGATTTAAAAGAGCACGGACTAGAAAGGTAAGCAAGTGAAAAAAGAGAAACCGATGCATTGCACACATAGAGCGGAAAAGAAGGTTGAAAATATTAATGATATATCAAAGTATTTCTTAAATCCGTTATATGATCATTAATTACTGTCAATATTGTGGACGTAAATATATTATATTAACGACTATGTAAAATTCGCGCGCCAATCGACTGACAGTAGAAAATCTCCATATTCGTAGCATGTTGAAATGATTTCTAATGATAGTAATGCCGATCGTATGCTAAGATATTATAGACCGATTGCGCAATAGTATGAATCATCCACACCAACAGTATTTATTAGTCTAACAATAATACTAACTTACAAAAAGAGTATGTTTCCTTTCTTCGAGGAAAGGAAAAATTATCTATGGAAGTATTCGTAATATTTCCTTCGCTCAAAACCGAAGAGAGAAAATTATAGTAATATGATGCAATCATGACTTCGCACCATTTTATAGATGACGTGATAGTAATCTCGCGATGAGGATTTCTGCTTCCTTGACATTTTTATGATATTTGCAAACATTAGACGCATTCTGCTGGCGAAGAAACGTACAACGAACACAGGGCATGTTTATCATATACGATGATGATTTATGAATTCGCATGATGATATATTGTCTGATATGAAAATATATTCTCTTTATCTTCTTTCTCGTATTTCAGGTTTTATTCGAAAAGAAAAAGTATAAGCTATACACATACGTACACACATCGCGGACGGGGTATATTATTAAACTTCTTCTTATTCTGTCCACCGCCGCTAGTAATTGCGGTTTATACTGCTAGGCTAGGGTATATCTATAGACATAATACGCGTTCTTTTGTAGTCTATAATAGGGGGTTGACCCGGATCGATCTAAAAACGTTTTAGACCGATCCCTGGAGCCTTCAACCGCGCGAACGACCTGCATCTTTTCGAATCGCCAAAGAGACTTCGTAAAATCAATATTTATCATCCTAATATCAATATTATTTAAATATCTAGCACAAAATAGAAACAAATATCTTCACAATTAATTGTTGATCGCCAGTGATAAATTTAAACAAATAATAAGATGCAATTTAATTCGATCAAAAACTGGCTATTCATTTATTGAAAATAAGTACACAGATAGCTAACAGATTGTCGATATAACAGGACAACTTTCATGTTTCTATTTTTAATTAATGTAATTGCTGAATAAGAACAACACTTGAAAAGGACCACAATGTGGGTCGAAACGTAGTGTGTACTTATTTTCAATAAATGAATAGCCAGTTTTTGGTCGAATTAAATTGCATCTTATTATGAACAAATGTATCCAGCATAAAATATAAATATATAATATATAAAAAAATTCATATGTGTGGAGTGTATTGATAGATAAATTGATAGCCTGTTAGAACGAGAAATATTGAATTGATAGGAAAAAATATAAATATCTTAATATATCTAATTAGCAAAAGTAAAAATAAATATTTCTCGTACAAAGGTAAGTTACTTTTTTGAAGTTTTTAAAAATAAATATTTTTACATCTAATTTAATTATTTTGTATATAAATATATTATCAAATATATTATAATATAAAAAATAAGAAATAATACAAATATAATTAATCTAACAATTGTCTACTTTATTTTACATGACTCTAGAATACGGTTTAACTTGGAAAGAAATTTAAATATTTAAAATAAGAGATACTGTTATCTCTCATTAATTCTTATAAGCTGAACAACTAAAGCAGAATAAAACAACGTAAGAATACTTTTTATGTCACTGATTTCAATGATAATTTCATTCAGAATTACACCATTCTGAATTACTTAGACTTCAGAGAATATAAAAAATTAATATAATCACTTAAGTATATGAATATTAAACTTGACGTAGTAAAGATAACTAATGAAGGCTTGTAGATTCAAGATTAATAGCCTGAAAACCGATAATAACAAAAAAATAATTAATTTGCGGTTTGTGTGAGTCACACGCAGTTTCGATTCTTTGCTGAGATAATTTTCTTTCGAACTCGATTCAAGTCAAGCGCGAATTTCGCTCGGACGTGGACGCATAAATTCGATATCTCTCCATAGATAGACAATATGAAAGTTACCTACCTGTGCCGTGATCGGATGGTTTGTGTGTTGCGTGTGCGTGCTCGTCCTAGTTGGAGGTGCGTGTAGCCAACAACACATGGCGGCGCAAATAAGGAGAGCCCCGGCAACTATGCAGGCGACACCGACGTAACGCACCGGTTCGACATAGTTCTCCGCTAAACCCAACCAGTTTATGAGAGCCCCGACGCACAGAAGGACCATACCGTATCGGTACGGGCGCTGCGACCTCCGAGATTCCTCCAAAGACATTGCTGAAAAGCACGGAATTTATTATACATCCCTATATATAAGCGCGTGATATTATTTAATATTTAAGCAATATTCTAGGCGTATTTTTAGAATACTTAATATTCTAAGAATACGCCTAGAATATTAAATAATATCATGTGCTTATAGGATATATACATATAGATAGAGATTCTTTCATACACGATATTTCGCAGAAATTTATCTAAAAAAAAAGAATAAATATTATTAACATTATTAATATTGTTATTTTTTCGATTGATTGCGACGTCGTTATAAGTGGCCCACAATAGACAAAGAAATACCGCTATTCATCACTTGATTCAAAGATAGTGACATTTATGAATATGAATGGGATGGTTTCATTTAATATTGAATGATGTTAGTATAACAGCTGTGTCGAATGCTGGTAGCGGCCTATAAATCTAATAGCGCCTAGGTAATATTTAATCGAAAGTACGTTTCAATTGCTTTATACTATATATATGTAAAAAAAACCTAACTTACAAATAAAACATACAATTAGCATACGATTATTAAAATTCGATTATTTTTCGATAATTATTCGAATAGTATAAATTTTTATTATAAGATTTTTAATTCTAATAAAGCACAGTAGAGAAACGGTCGACATTATTCAGCCTGATTCCGTATGATATATAACATACAAATAGGATCTTCTCTAATACCCTTCATTCGATGATTTATATAAAGTTCAAGATTAAGTTATCATTTACAGTCGAGTATTAAGCTCTCGAATCCATTCATGATATATCTTAAAAATCTGATATGCCCGTTAGAGAGAGAGAGAGAGAGAGAGAGAGAGAGAGAGAGAGAGATATTATCAAAAATTTGTATGGATTGATAGTTCGATGGCAATTGATGTTTTTGGCGAAATAACGACAAATTATTTCTACTCGAAAGACGTATGCATATTTCTCGTCTGAAAGATGGGTTAACCGTGTCACGTTGAGTTTTATTGATGTAAATTGCAACTTTATTAAGCGACATTTGTGCTCACAATATTGACGAAAGCAGAAAACATTTGCGAGCATCTTGATAAAAGACACGCCACTTTCCAAAGTAGGCTATTCGTATAAAACTCCATTACTCATTTGTCTGTGTGGATATTAGAAAGAGTGACAACTCTAACGTCAAGAATTAGGTGAGCAATAAATAATGTCTTGGAGTAAAATTAGTAATATTGTGCACACGCTGCTATATTTTTATCTTATAAACATTTACTATTTTATTACTATTCCGATGTGTAATATACATAGTAAAGGCATTGCAACACGAGACTGTTAAATATAAAGGCATAAGAAATGCTCGTTATATCTTTAAACTTTAGTAAACTTATATTACTTGGCATAATAAAGTTAAAATCTCTTTCTAAAAGTGAAATATGAATTAAAATGCATGAGAGTTTTATTTAAAAAACGAAAGCACACGCGTTGCACGATATTTAGCAATCCTAGAACTATAGTACGATTATTTCAATGTTGGAAACTACCGTCACATATCGACACTCGCGCATATGTCACGAAAATTACACCCAAATGCATAAATAATAATCGTCGACATATGATTCTACTCGAATTCTCATCGCCAAATTAATAAGTTATTCAAGAACTCAATTCATCAGCTGAGCTTATCATTCTTACATAATTCATCGGTTGAGCGACTATAAATATTCTTCGATTATCTACAAAGTAGGCTACATGCGAACGATTATAACGCGATAAGCTGTGTCGGCATTAGTACAAAATGATCGATATTTGTCATTTTTATTGTATATTATTATTTTAGCAACGACCATTATTTAATTATTAAAAGCATCATTTTGCTTATAGGTTGCAAAAATAAAATATGAAAACCTATTTCTAAAGTGACATGCTATGAAAAATAACATGATTACCGTAGATATATCGCATTAATATAATTATTGCGGACTACTTTCACCTTACTGCATTAACATTAATGTTAAAAAATACTTAAGAATAGACGCAATTTTAAGCTGTCTAATTACATAAGGAATTCAATGCTATCTCAATCGAATGATTTAACTTTAATGTGATTCAAAATATTGCTGCTTCTTCTAAAAATGTTTGTTCTTTCTGCCATGCGTGAAAAGCTTCTAGTTTTAAAAATTACGCAAGTTTAATTAATATAACATACTGTAATTAGTTTACCAATGGACTCATCCATGCTGTCGGTTATGAGAAATAATATACTAATAACACAAGCCGTTGTCTTTCGGCTAGCAAATTTTCTTGGCGACTAACATATCGCGCTACAGACCGCCGTATATAAAGCGACACGACATATAATAGAGAGAGAGAGAGATCGTTCAATTTCGAGCCGAGACGTATGATTATACGATCCGTTTTCGAGCATGTCATTGAAATCGTAAAGATAAGGTCTTATTTTCGAAACGTTATCATCCCTGATGAGCAGCGAGCTTGCCTTTAAACACGTGAGAAACACGCCACGTAAAATTATTGCAACGCGGTGATATGTACACGTTTAAATGCGTTACATGTGCAACAAAGATATACGCATCAACCAGACTCCGTATGCGTGCACAAACCGACGCAATGACGCGGTCGCGAAATTAATTCCAATTTACATATATACTCGAAGCGGCATCCAAGGACGTGACTTGTACTACGAACCTCCTCAAATGGCTAGACTACGCTCAATGAAGTGCAGGATATTGCTTAAACACTGCTTGTCCTGATGTAGATATGCCATATCTCGTTTCTACTAAGAACAAATTGTATTAGCGCAGGTAATGCTGCACTACTTTAAGAGAAGATTTCAGATTCATCCGGTATTAAGATCATTTTAATTAAAGATGTGAATGAAAATTGTAAATTATAGCGAAAAAAGAAAGAAGTACAATTAATTAAAGAAAAATGGATTCTTTTATTTAGAAGAACTTTGTTGACGATAGGATTGTATAACCAGCTAACTTTGATCTTAACAATTTTAACTTTGTTGCAAAAGCAAAAAAAAAAAAAAATAAATTGCATATCATGAGTGTTGTCGACGATTTTTTGTTTCTTGCAAGTATATCGATTTTTAACCGCATAATATATGTAGTTATAGAATACGCAGAGTATTTCAAGGCTGTTGGGATATGCTTTAACGACGCACACATTAGTAGATAATAAAACTAAAAATATCGCTGCATTATATAATAAATGTTATAACAAAACTTTAAAAAATTGTGAAAGCACTTTAGCAGTTAACAGCAATTAACACAAAAGTGTAAGCAGATAATAATGCCTTTCAAATATTTTCATCTGAAGCTTATAATTGCCATGATATTTAATATAAATATAAAAAGAGCATAAAAAAATTAAGTAAATTGATTAAAAAATTGCCTAGAAAATTTCATTAAAGTATATTCGTAATTTTAAAATTCTAGTGCAATCTATTTCATTGCGTTGACTGCAATATTACATTATTATACAATAAACTCATCATAATTTATTGCTATTTACTATGGTCATAAAAATTGAATTTAAAAAATGATAATATATTACTAAAAAGATAAATTAGTGGATCTCTGTCTTTTATCAATATCTAATTTTACTATAATAATTGTAAATTCTATCTATCAATTTTTTTTCGTCACACACATATACTGCCTTAAAATATTATATATTCTACAACAGTTATTAAAATGATAAGTAAATTAAAATAATTATATTTCTAACAAATCTTAATCATTTTCTTTACTCTCTTAAGACGTAGATCTATGCGCATATATTTACATACATCGCAGGAATATGTAGAGATCGTGGTAGAAATCGACATGGAACGGTCAGACAGGTTTTTTGCGATACACATATTATGATATCTCTGTCTCGCTTGTATATATGATACAGTTGCTTCGTTATTTTTGGAGTAAACCGGTTGGTTATTTTGAAGTAGGAAGAACGACTAATCAAACGGTTAGTTTGCACGCGTGTATATATTTTAATCAGAATCATCAAATATATAAAAAAAATTGTAGATTTAAAAAATATTATATTATAAGTATTGTGACGTAATGAATTTTGCTTAACTTTTCGATTCTTATTTATATTACTTGTTTATATTGTCTTGACTATAAAATTATTATTTGTTTAAATTCCAGTCTGATAATTATTATATATTGTATTTTGAAAGAACAATTTTGAATGTGACATGGATTTAAGTATAAATTCTCTCTATAAATGTGTATCAATTATTATTTTCCATCAACGATGTGATATCTAAATTCGTTAACATAATAAATAAATCGCGACGATATTGTTGGAATACATAATATAATCGACTTTATCATGCTCGGTTTTGTAAAGTACTACATATTCAATTCGAGAATAAATTCAATGCTGATGCGGTTAAAGTTCTCTGACAATGCGCGGTTTTGACACTTTATTTCCTTAGTTCTTTGCTTGGCGATTGTAAAAGCGGCAGTCGTAGATAATGATAACCAAAAGCGAAGATAGCAAATAATGTTATTGCAATTACCAGTAAGTGGCTGCAGATTTGCATTGGCGTAGTGCTTCGTGCAAAATTATTATCTCGAATATGATAATCAAGCGTTATCCCACGATTTATGCATTACATTGATAGAATAAAATGAATAAGAGCCAAATGCAGTGTGCGCATAAAAATGGTAATATAAATCTTGAAAAGATCAAAATGTCACAAAGCATTATCAAAAATTTGATAACATTATTTATACTCTTGTAATTTATTTAGATTTAATTTTTATTGATACTTACATTTGCACGTAATAATTAATTTTACGTAAAAGTTGAAAAATAAATACATGAAACTCAATAGACAATAGCATTTATATTCAACAACTAAAAAAATTATGTAAGTATTGAGAGGAACAAGATATTCAGAATGCTGTATATAATATTCTAAAATTAAATTTAAATATATCTTATGTAAAATAAATAAAAATAATATTGGTATTTTCTATATTATATAAATCAAGTCTGAAAAGGTTAAACATAAATAGTTCTTTCTCTTTGCTTGCTGCTGATTTATTATTTCTTCTTGAATATCTATATTCTTGAACTTATCGCACAGAAGGAGAAAAGTACTTTGTCATTAAGATTACATCTCACGTTCGTTCACATCACAAAGCACAAAATGCATACAATTCAGAGTAACATTAATAGATATGACGAATATCAAACACGCATATGATAACGCACGTGTATTTAATTATTTATAACATGCAATTATATTATATGAAAATAACTTGCCGATAACGAAAAAATTAGTTTTTTATCTCCTACAATAGTAATTAAATTGACCATGAAAATATAATTAAATCCGAGATAAATAAAATAAAATAAAAAAGATCGATAATATATATACAGTAAGGTAGTTTTATATATGTATTATTAAAATAATTACATTATAAATCATCAATAAACAATTAATAATTAATATTTGCATTATTACGTCGATAAATTTAAATTAATACGGTAGTAACTATGCTGCTTAGCCAAGGCAAATTATCGTACTTAAAAATAAATATATTGGATTGATTCACAAATAAGTACCGTTTTACATAACAAACTGGATTTTTATATTTAAAATTATTTATAATAAATTTTAATCTGTTACATAATATATTCTCCATTATTAAGTTCAACTTATTCATATTTAGACGATAATTTATTAATTTCTTCCTTGAAGTATTTTGAAGGTTTTGACACAAAAAATTTTTTTTGTCGTTCTTGACTTCAATATAAAAATATTTTCCATTTAATAAATTTTAAAGCAATCTAAAAAATGATAGGAATAGAAATCTAATGAGATTTGAAGAATAAAGAGAATGAACAACCGACCACAAAAATTTCTTTTCTTGTTATTTTTATCATGTTTGGGCATTGTCATATAGCAAAATCATATATTTGTGATTAATAAGAGCTGTTTCTTTTTGCAATTTTTTGTATTTGCACTAATTGCATATTAACTTCCGTTATGACTGTCTCGTTTTAAAAACTCATAGTTTCTTTTCTAGAATTATTTATAGCAAAACTCACTTGTAAATTAATGCAATATTTATATAACTAGATAAAAAAGAATAAACTAGATAAGAAAAATATTCACTGATATATTTTTCATTTTTTTCATTTGGTGTGGAAGAAGTCAACGTACAGTCATAGTCGGCAGGTACATACTTCCCGGTAATAAATCGATCCACCTATGCTTTCGTGCATTTTACATTTTATCGAACGGTTTTCTAGACCGTGTGCGTGACGCCCGGATCTTTTCTATATTCACACGTGCGTATGTCACGTCTTGCATGTCGGTCCCCCATAAGTCGACCAGAAAATCAACAGTGACTCTTGCATCACGGCTTGCCGACAACGTGGCAATGCAATTGTTACATGATTACCTGTCGCTTACATGGTTTGACCTTAACCCGGTTTCGCACCTTGCACACTTCGAATACGGTAGCAGTAGATAAGTAAATGCTAAATCGACTTTATGTTTACGAAGTTGTGGCATGATGGTGGTTAAAATATCCGAATAATTTTACGAGTAACTTTATTTTTACTGTTACCACGATACCTATATTTGCATAATTTTCTACACGATTGATTTGAGACGCGAGTTACGTAGTTTCTGTTCCCATTTTTTTGCTCTTTAATATTATATGTATAAAAAAATTATATTTGTAATTTTTGTCATAAAATAGTACTGTACATTATTAAATTTAAAGAAATTAAAAACAAAAGAAAGAAATATAATTGACGTATTTCTGATATAATTTCGTTTTTTTAAATTATTTATAAGCAAGATAATGTATAATAAATATTTATTAAATTATTTTCTATTATTTCTTGTATATTTTATGTATATTTAGTTCCTATAATTTTGATAGAACTTATAGGAAATTTACTAAAATAATGCAAATTCGATATTACGTATAATATTTTTATAAATTTTGATATATCTCTTTTTGTACAAATAATTATAAAACATATTTCATTCAAGATATTAAAAAAAATCACTACAGATACGTTTCTCTCGAAGGCGCTCAAATTATCATCTCGTAAGAAATTTTTATCACGTTCCTACGACTATAACATTACGCGAAAGCCGATCGCGACAGCAAAAATTCAACGAAGAGATGCATTAAAACACATTCGTGATGAACTGCGTCACTGATATAGCGTAAGTTATCGCGCCTTCATAGACTCAACATAAATACTCGTGTCATAATTGTAAATCTTTTCATTTTTCTGCTAAATTATTCGTATTTCAAACGAGATAGTAAACTGAACTGCAAAGAAGATAAAGAAGATAAAAATAATGAAAAAGATGATATTTAAAGATATGCACTTCTAAGAATCTATTTAAGTTAAAACACAAATCTTCTTTGCATTTCTATACTATATGCGTGCGCAAATTATATTTAATTTGCGTAAATAAAATTATCATAAATATTAAACAAGCATTATTTAAATAATATGCAGTTGCAAAAAATTTATAAATACACAGAAATGATATTAAAATATTGCGATGCATATTAATAATGCTAATTATAGATAAATTTAGTATTTAATCTTTCCAATTGATAGAAAACAGATACACCTGTGATGCGCAGATACCTATGTACGTTTAAAAGGTACATATGTTTATAATTTATAAGTTATAACATTTGTAAAGCATAAATGATAAGAATCGCAAACATCTTTTTCATGAACGAATCCATTCTTTACATTTAAAAATACATCTGTTGCAATGTATCTGTCTAGCAATAATTTTTCTCATAAATTAAGGATATCAGATATGTATTGATAAATGCTTTTGCGTGATTACTTAATTAGCAAGTTAAAGAACTCATTTAAATATCGATCAATATCGGCATATTGTATTTATATATTTCAAGTGGTTTAATAAACATATCTAAAGTTTTATCATAGAATATTTAGTATAAAAATATATTTAGTATAAATTAATGTTTAATTACCAGAATTAATAACATTTAAAAAAAATTGTCCATGGTATTCTATTCTTAAAAAAAAAGAAACGATACGTTTTAATCTTATTGTTAATGTTTATTTAATGTACACAGATTTTAAAACTTAAGTATAATCTATTTTGTTCTGATAATTAATATATAATTTTTTAATGTACCATATGTGTGTGCGTAAAGAAAGCATAATTTGAGGAAATGAAAAAGGGAGCAAATAATATTGCGATAAGAGCGGAAGTAAACTAGTTTCATATGTTTGATTGCACCATAATATATATTATTATAACGTTGTGGAAATAAAATAAAAATTTCTTGGCTAGTTTAGGTCGAGAATTAAATATATCGTTCCTATTTTAAATACCACTAGCGACGTTTTAAGTATTCAACTTGATTTTATAATATATTTTCTCTCAATACTTTTTATTTCCGCTTTTTTCTTTTTCATATAACTTTCTTAAAATCGTTATTAAATTTTTAATAACGATTGAATACAACATGGCACTTATTCGTACATAATATTATATCTTCTAATAGAAGATATAAAATTAATAATTATTTTTATAATCATATCACCAGAAGAAATATGTTCTTTCAGACGAGATTGACTAAATATAATTAATATATATTGACACAGAGAGAATGTGTGAGTCACTATCCAGTGTTTTTCGTTATTATTTCACATTAAAATAGAGAAAAAATTCTTTTCTCTTACCTAATTTAATTTTCGTAGTGATATCAAGCTGTCCGATGTCGAAACTGGTGGCACGCACTAACCAAACTCACTGATTGTTTGTTTGACCGTTTGCTCTTCTGTGCATCGAAAGGGCCCTATAGCTGCCCTGATGATGCCATAAGAGAGCGCAGCTCCCACGAAGAGGACTCGGCGCAGACTGACGCAGCGAGCGTTCTCGCGGTCTATCTAACCCACGTTGCCTGCTTCCACTATCAGAATCAAGCGCAGGCGCAGGTATACGACAGGTATACGTATCATGATGTCAACATGGTTTACAGCAGTATTTTTCAAACGTTCTGTAAAGGTAAGTTGTTTTGCATTAGCAATGTTAATTTTGCTTTTAGGCATCCCAATAAATTTAAATTGTTTAAATATTTAAAATTGGTTCTTTCATTTCAAACGCACATAACAAGGAAGATGACATGAATTTAATTTAATTAGATTTATAATGAACTTTATTAATAAATGATAATATTATTTTGTTATATTATATGAAAGATCTAAAAATATAATACAAGATTATATTAATGAGCAGCTGATATTCCTTCTTTCAAGAAGAGAAATATTAACCGAATAAATTTTCATATTAATACGTATAATGATTGTACATCGATACATATACAATATACAATATTTCTTATAGTAGAATCATTTCAGAAGAGAAAATTTTTTCGCCATATCCTTTGAAGTCAATCAAGTTGTTTAAACAAAATAAGTTTCCTTGATGATATTACCCGTATTTTCCATCAATGTCATCAAAATACATGACGTTGTTATTTTCCGAGGATAAGCTTATTAAATACGATTCTGGCTTATTACTTGAAATATGTGAGAAATTCATGGGAAAAAATACGTCTGGAAAATTTTTGATTAATTATATTCGATAGTGACGCGCAACAAAATGGAAAATAAATAACAGCAATTAATGAGAACTAACAGCATTTCGCGGCACCATCGAAAACATTATATTGTGCACTTCATTTTCATATCTAATAAGCAATGATATAATTAGCGCGTTTGCGTTGAGACAGATCTCTCGAAACTGAATCTATTTATATATGTATCAAATAATATTTCTACCTGGCACTATGTGCTGGCTTTGAATCAGATTATATATGATAGTAATACTATCAATGTTGACTCACGCGTTCAAATGACATGATATGCATAAATACAAGGTTGCAATTTGACGTCAACAACATAAAAAATCTGATTAAATAAAATTTTATAACAAAAAACATAATCAGTTCTTATGTAATAGACTTATATGCATATTTAAAATAGTTAATTTATTTAGACGACATTAATTAAAATTCTTTGTTTTAAAAATAAAAATGCCTTGGAAAACACATATGCAATCTAACGCAATACTCACAATCATGCAATCTTAAAATTATGAAAGAATTAAGTAAAAGAATATATTATCTTTATGTTATCTTTGTACATATGTTATCTTTATATATATTATTATGTTATCAAAATAAAAAATCAAGATATTGAGAAAAAAGGCGCGACAAAATGAATTAATGTCACTAATAATGAAATCTAACATTAGTATCTTAATCGCGATCCTAGAATCTCGAAAAAATTAATTATTGCCGCTAATAATGAAAACTTATTAAAAAATAAAAGGGCGCGTTTAAAAATATTGAAATACATTAATGAAATAGTGCGCCAAAAGATAATAAAACATTTTGAAAAAAAACGTGTCACAGCCTAACATTATGGTATTTAAATGGCAACTCTTTTGAAGAGATAAATGTTTTGTTGATCGTTATTATTGCAGGGTTTAACTTTTTAAATAAGTCTAAATTTAATTTTATAACATATTTAAGATAAATAGTAAAAAGTTTATTATAATTCTATTTATAATTTACTCTCGAAACTGATTTTGTAAATGGGTAGATATTAGAGGCTGTTTTTTTTTATTTAATATCTCTATATCATAAATCGTGCTCATAACGAAAATTTTCAAGATGATAGTAACAAGTACAAGGTTTATGAAATAAATTTGGACTCTTACCTAAAGGTAATTATTATTTAGATAAGAGATAATAATGTGTCCCTTGTGATAGTTAAAACTTAAAAAATATCTAAATGCTTCGTCACTTTAAAGACATTTCTGGCATATTAATCGCAACATAAACTTAATTGCATAAATGATTTTGCGAAAGAAAGGTTTTATTAAGATTTTACAGGTTCATGTATAATATAATTTCATTAAAAATTTTGATATTAAAAATATAAAAATGCCAAGTAATTTTCCAATACACAAAGTATTATATTATTGCATTGTATATGTAACATTTATGCAACAATAATACACTATTATAACATAAAATGTATATATGTACTATATTATATTAAAGTATAAAAATTATATTAAATTTATATTAAATTATATATAAAAAAACATATTTATATTAAATATATTAAAATACCCTAAAATATACTAAAATAGCGTTTCTATAAATGTATGCTAGCAAGTTTGCAGCGCGTATAATATTATATTCTTATATATGTTTATATGATATTACGTGTTTATACTATGTAATCTAAAAATATATATATATAAATATATAAAAATTATGAATTTCAAAGATCGGAGAGTAGATTTCTAAAAGAAAAATGTTGTTTTAAAAAAAGCTAGCTTAAAACTAATGAAAAAAGATCATTATATCGCAGCACTTAAGAAAAGCGATATTTCGTATCATTTTAGGATTATACTCTGATAATAACTTTGGCGATAAACATTACAAAATATATAATCAATAATACTTTAGTCCATGTAAATACTTCAATCGTATATATAATCTGTCTTTTTTATATTCTATTCTTTAAACAATCTTAAATTGTTGACCTGTTGATGCTACTAATTATCTCAAGTGTTTTCCCAAGTGGTTTTCTGTAATATATATAAGAGATATCATCAATTATCTTCGGGTAATGACATCACAAACGATTCTAGAAACTAAGGTCTGACTAATACAAAAATATTAAGAAACCAGACGATTCTATATTTGCAAAAGATTAACATTTATGGTCTATACGTTTCTCTCGATCGCATTTTATACATATATTTAAAAAGAAAAAATATAAAAAATTTTTATCGTTTAATTGTTTAATCTTCTGTTTACAGAATTTATTTTTCATATTCGCATCATATGGTATGTTATTAGTTACTAGTTAGTAAAATGTCAGATTAATAAGTAGTAATAAAAAAGCAATAATAGAGTGAATTCCGATAGCAAAATGAAGCAGGTGTATAGCTTTCATTCTCTTTTCACATTCCTCCTGTCTCTTAATCTTATTCATTCCAAGGCTACCCGGTTATAAATGCGGAACTGTTCATCTTTGTGTAGATGTCATTTAAATATTCACAGATTTTCGTATTTCCTGCTAGCTCACAACACACGTTCTAACTAATTCTTCATTTCTTTCATTATTTATTTTTGCATCACTTTCCAAATATATGTAGCAGCTTAATGCGGCCAGTATTGCTTACGAAATTTTTTATAATTATCATACATAGCTCATTAATTGTGATAAATGGAACGGAGGCTTATACAAAAAAATTAATAAAATCATTCTCCGTGCGATAATAAAAATATTGAAAAACACATGATATAACGTAACGCGTTATTTACTCGATCCTAAAATTGTAAAAATTAATAATGATCGCTGCTAATAATCAAAATTCTTTTAAAAATTTAACAGTGCGTTTAAAAATATAAGAATATATTAACACATATAATAAAAAAATATATTAATAAAATGGATCTACATTTAATAACAAAAAATTTAAAATATTTAAAAAACACGTGAATGGCTTAATTTTAATATATACTGTCTATACTAAACGCGATCATGTATTTATAAAAAATTTTAATTATTGCAGCTAATGATTAAAATTTTTTAAAAAATTTAGTAATAAATTTAAAATATAAAAAAATATTAATAAAATTCTCCGATTAATAATAAAAAATATTAAAAAATAATGATGTAACGTAAAGATATAAAAGTGTATAAAATTCGATCATAAAATTATGAAAAATTTTAATTATTGCTTCTATAATAATGGAAAATCTAAAAAATATAAAAGAATGTGTTTAAATAATCCGTTATAAAAATATTTCATATAAATATGGACTAAATGTAAAATTATTACCAAAAAATAAATAGAAAATATGCACCTTTTAACACATTATGTATATAAATCTAATTTATATACGTAAAAATAAAATTTTGTATCAAATAATTAAGCTTTACCTAAATTCCCTTTCAAAGATTTAACAAATGGATTAAAATTTTAAAGCATTATTATACTTTATGTTAATGACAGAAGTGTGGTTCTTGTGTGCGACACCTAGGCGCCACAACGTTTATAAAAAAAATTAGAGTGTTATCGATGTCTCATAATCGTCTCGGCTTTACAAGATGTTTCCAAGCATGCAATTGGTAATCATCGTGGATACAAAGATATACTGAGTGTCCTCTATCTTAAGAAAACCTTCACGTCTTTACATGCACATATGTACATATATAACGTTGTGCGCATTTTAATAAAATTGTTGGCGACAAATGCGCAGTATGATAACAAAGTATCAACATTTTTCTTTCTGAGTATAAAATCAGGTATACAATGCAGATAACAATAATAAATCTGGCTTTGAAACGGAAGGTGTGTACTTTATAAGTAATATAGATAAATCCAATCACATAATATAAACGACAACTTACGCGGTTTTTAAAATATTATTTTATAATTATAAGCTTTTTTATGAAGAGAAATTAATCGAGTTATTAAAATAACATAAAATATAAACAAAAAAATATATTATTATATGGTACAAATACATATATAAAAAAAAGAAATTCTGATAGATAAAAACACGTTAACTTTAAAAATTTAGAAACCTATATAAATATTATTAAGCTATTTCGAAATTTTTCCGTAATGCGCAAATTTATCATTCTTCCAAAAATCATACGTACATTGAATGAGTGGAAAATTTTAAACTCTTGCAAATATTTGCAAGGCTGGTCAAGATATCTTATACTCATATCATCAGGAAGAAGCAATACAGTAACCTTGTAGACGAACGATATTTTATCACCTGGCTAAAATATTTCAGCTGGAAAATTACGTTCATATTATTGACTAAAAAATATAGTTATATCTAAATACACCGATCGATCTCTCACTTGACAAACATTATTAATCATGCTTGTAAATCTTTATCAGAAACTTAATGTAAGATAAATACGGCATATGTATATCTTCGCACTGTGTAAATTTAAGCATGCAAATATTATATTTCAATAAAATTAAATTAATAGCGACTTATTGTTCATGGTTAATGTATACGTAAAATACAGCAATATTTTAATAACTCATAAAAAATTGCATAGAATTCAAATATTAAATATATCTTTAATTAATTATAACATAATTATAACATAATTATCATGTAAAGTTCATTATAATGCATATAAGAGTATTACATTAAATAAATAAAAATGGTAATTATCAGATTATCTTGTAATACATTTATATATATATATATATATATATATATATATATATATATATATACATTTCTTAATTTACACTTATGTGATAAAATTTATATTAATGTTAATAAAGTTTTCTTAAATTATTATTTTATAATATATTCTTTTAAAATTAATTTTTAAATAAGATTTAAATTTAAAATATAATGTAGAAATAATTATACGAAATAAAAAAGTAAGATTGACATATATTAATCGATATATTGTTAGAGAAATTGTATATAATATTCATACTTTAATTTGTATTAAATCAAATCTTATATTTTTATAAATCTATAATTATTGTATCAATATGTATAATTTGTTTAATGCTAGCACATTATTTTGCACAATATACATTTATAATATATTGCAATTATATATTTAAATAATACTTATATACAAAATAATAATACAATTAATATTTTCTTAATAACACATTAAGTATATATGTGGAAAAATTGTTTATTCACATGATTTATCTTATCACTCTACATTTTTATACATAGATAAAATATATATGAGAAAATAAATGTTATTATTTAATATTTATTAAATTGTTAAAATTAATATTTTGGTTTTAGCTAAAAATGTGACTCTGATAGATAAATTTTATAAATTATATATTGTATTCACTGTACATATATACATTTAAGTCTTAATTGAACAAAAATTGTACAAATTGCTGAAATTTTCATGCCATTACCATAATGGGTGAATCTTGTATTTTTTCTTTTATACTATTTTTACTATCTTGCTCTGGCAAATCCTTTGGCACATCTGGTAGTACAACACCAGATTGCTCCTTTGGTATTTCAGGAGCCTTCTCGTTGAACTCTGTTTCCATCAATGCATCCAACTCTGCTTCAATTTCGTTTTCATCGATATTGTCCTCTGCAGTGAGTGTTGATGACAATATTTCATCTATTTCTCTTTGCTTTTCAATTCCTTCTCTTGTTTCATCCATAATTTGTTCAATTTCGTCAATAGACAACAAATCGTGTAGCTGTTTTAATGTCGTATTACCAATTTTTAGGCCATCGACAACTTTCATCTCAATTTGAGCAAATTCCAAATCATGGACCATACGTTCAAGATTCTCTAACTGACCATCTGCACGCGATAAAACTTGTTCCTGGTACTTCTTTTTGCGCAACAAGAGCAATGCACGACTGAAACAATAATGAATTGCAAAATAATTTTGACAAAGTATACAAAGTTTCTATGTTATCAATCTATATAAAAGCAGTTATAGATATAATCTATAATCAAAAATAAAATAGTAAACAATTATAAAATGTTAAACTTGTATATAATACATTATATATATATATATCATTTACTATACAAATAAATATAATAATCCAAAAAAGAAGAATATTCAAAAAATACTTACTCTTTCTTCCCTTTTTTCAAAAGTTCTTTTGCGAGCAATCGCTCTTTCTCCAAACTTTGTTCAATTTTTCTCTGATACTGTCTAATTTTATCCCTTGCTTGTTTCACTTGCTACATAAATATAATTAAATATTAAATAAGTTTTAAAGAATATGATTAAAGATTAAATAATTTTAAGAGATTATAATATACGTATATATATATGTAAATATTACACATATATTACATGTCTAAAATCATGTTTCGTTCGTAATGTATCGCCAATCAAACAATTGTTAATAATTCACAAGTTACATTTGATCAATGTTAAAAAAGATTTATAGTAAATTTAGATACAACGTGATGATAAAAGGGTTTCTTACCAGGATCGCTTTGTCCTGCTCGGTAACACGACTCGATTGCTTCTTCTTTGCGAAGAAGATTCCCATTTTGACTGCGATATCAAGGAACCACAAATTAATGTTTAATTTATTTGCGAGTCACGTCGTATAAAGTCTTGTTTTGACAGTTGTTGACAGCGTATTGAGATAACCTCGAAAGTAATCCCACTCTGAACCGGTCGGCGACCATGTTGGTCGTTCAGTACTAAACGAGTTATCGAGTTATCGAGATATCGATATGTCGACGTCACAGCTCACATGCGATTCTTGAATCGCGCTGTTACGTCACTTCGCGCCAAATAATGGCGGTATCGCGGCAGTGCACGTCGGCTCTTCCTAAATTGCATTAAATTTCGTGAGTTTTGTGAATATTTATCATATAAAGTGCGCGAGAAATGTTTGTTAATAGTAGATATACAGTTTTTGAGTATCGGTTGTGAATAAATATAACTTTTAGTGATAGAGAACTAGCGAAATATCTGTGTGAACTGGTAGCTGCAGCGAATGCGTCCTCCGGTCGTACGAGGTGAGTAAAGAAATAATTAGGAAAAAATTGATTTGCCTCAATCCTAGACATAGAATATACCAGCCCATGTTGTTAGAGATAGCATAATAATATATATGAAGGATAAACAATAGCATTCCGCTCTTTTTAATCGCGTGGTGGAGATAGATAGATAGAAGAGAGAGAGAGAGAGAGAGAGAGAGAGAGAGAGAGGCGGGAGGGGATATATATATATATATATATATATATATATATATACTTAGAATACTATATATATTGCTATCCTTCTTATATGTTATTATGCTGTCTCTTTTATTACGGTAAGTCTAAACATAGTAATCTTATAATTTCAATAGGTAAATTGATGTTTGCATATCAAATGCGATAATGACTTCTTTATGCATATTTGCAAATGAACGTAATGTTTGTTTGATATACGATCTTTTTTTAGAGTCGGAAATTTAATTAATTAATTTATAATTCTCACAGTCTAATCATAATAATATAATATAATTACTCAGCTAATTCTCAAATGTAATATTAAATTTTTAAAATTCTAAATTTTTCGTTAGATTTTCAAATGTATATGTATTTATGGATATATATTTTCGAATTAATTACATACATACAAACACACACATCAATAAGGATACACATACGCATACACATGCATACACTTTAATTATAAATAAAAATAAAATTTGATGCAAAATAAAATACTACTAGAAATACATATAGTATAATTTAATAGCACTTAATCTATATCAATACTTAATATCTTAAAAGGTGGGAAATAATAAAACACAAAAACATTAGATTGAATTGAACAATGTCCATTATATTATATATTTTATTCCCACATACACACGGCACGTTGTGAACCTTTTCTTAAATATTAATAATATTATCATAATAATAATAATAATAATAATAATCGTCATCATCATCATCATCATCTTCATCATCATCATCCTCGTCATCGTCACAATGATAATAATTTTAATAATCATAAGTAAACAATAATAAACATAATAATGTGAATTCATGAGTTATATTTATATTTATGTATATATATTTATAATAAATCATATCGCAATAATCATCGCATATCATATAATATATATTTATATGTACAGAGGGGTATAATATTGTTATTCTTTATTAGTTTAATATTTATAATCGCAATATTATATTTATTTTTGTTTGTATACATACACAATTAATTAGATTATCGGCCCTCGCTCGCGCCTCATGGCGGATAATTTCTCACTTTCTATCTTTTGTTTCTATCTCGCGCTTTTCCCTATTTAAATATCCCGAGACCGAGTATTCTCTCATAATCGCTCGAGTATATCGCGCAATCGACCGATCTTTTTTCTCATTTGAGAAAAGCATCATCGACGCATGCGATGAAATTTTTTAATCGATCGAGCCAATCGATCGATTTGCTTCCCCGAACGCAATCTCGGCGCTCCGCGGTCGTTTTGTGTTTATCTTACAAAACATCCATTATAGTCTGGCCGCTTTTGGACAGAAAATCGATCTTTCCTTCATCTGACTTTCGCTCCCAAATCTTGCTCGAGTGATTAAACAGATATATCGATTTCACGCAACAAAATCGCGATCGCGATTTAACATTCGCGAAAAGAGGATCGCTCGATTCTCCCCCCAGCAGCGCGCCTTTCATAAATATTCTGTACAACGTTATAATTATTATAAATCATCAATATATCTTATATAGTCTTATCATTATGTCATTATTATCGGTAGTGTAAAATTGAAACTTTTACGTACTTATGTAGATTAGATTAGCGTCTGCTCGCCCGCTCGCTAGCAGGCGGCCTATTGTTATGTGTATATATACCATTTTTTGTTCTTTTTCTTTTAAGTCGATACATAATCGTATAATTTAGTATGTCACTATATGTACTGTAATCGTTTACGATTAGTAAGAATATGTAAAATTGGTATTTCATCTTATCCCTTGGCTTGCTCATTTATAATTCAATAAATCTCGTTTAAGCATCCACATAATCGTTTAATATACATGGAATTAAAAGGGACTTAGTTATTGCTTGTTATATTGCAAGTTTCCTCATTGCAAGCTATATGCCATGCCGTCGAGCCTTTTTTTGCCACCGCTACTCTTTATCGCTATTGCGATCCTTTCACTGCGAATCACAGAAAGTATGCCCGAAAGTTTGGTTTTTCTCTCGTTCGCTACATGTCCGATGTGAATAATAAGACGTTATCAAACTTAACGTACAATATTTGTCGAATTATTATAATTTGTACTCCTATAAACAAATCGGAACCTAATGTTTAAAATGTTTAGAATTGATATTCTTAATTCAATTGGCGTCGCGATAAAATAATAACACTGCAACATATTTATAAATTGCTTAGTTCTTAATAACAATATAATGTGAACAAATTGCTACTACGATTATGGATCATTCTGTATATAAGATTTTCTGAAAAATATACAGGATTTATAACATTGCACATGAATATATCAGTGAGTAAGTATACAAAGCAATATATTTACATGTATAGTTTTTAAAATATTAGAAATCTAAAAAAAAAGATATTTTATAGCACCGTCATTACCGTAATTTCCCGTAAATAATAATTTTTTGGTTGTTATTTATTGCACAGAAAAATAAAATAAAAATTTTTTAAACAATTTAAATTACAGATCCATTTGATATGTCAATTCTAATACATGCAAAAAATCAATTTTTCTTACTTTGTGGTTTTGTCGAAATAATGTCATTGTATGCAAATCTATAATTTTCAAATATATAGTATTAATAAATATATATTATTAAATGATAGTATAATAAATCAGCAATCTTTTTGAAATTTAGATTAATTGCACACAAGCGACAAAAAGATACTGCATTAATTTAACATATTTTTAAGCAATATCCAGACGATAATTATGCGGTATCGTGAATCGCTCACGATGTGATAATAAAACAATGCAGTATACGTATGTATCTGCATTGTTTCATTATTTCCTAGATACTCTAGATTAAAATTTTTTTATTTACAGCGCCATAAATTGATGCATATTTATATATCAATATTCATCTTTCTACCGCTCGTATGCAGAGTAAACGGATACTAATATAACATGGCTATTAAGATGTTGCAAAGAGAACTAAAGATAGTAGCATTGTGTTATATTAATTTATGTAATGCAATATAACCAGGATCTGTATTGTATGAGAGAGCGTACATTCCAAATTATTAAACGATTGTTCTGAATAGTATCAATTGAATTACAGTCTTGCAACAGACGATTTGATATCTTATGCGATAAATATATGTATATATATTATATAAAACAGAAACTATACCAAAGATTCGTACGAATATTCGGTTGGTCGAAAGACCAATTAATTGAAGAACTGATAATACTTCGCAATTATATAATACCGCGTTTGTCAAATAATGAATCTTTTGAAAAAATAGATCAGCATATTCGATAATTATAATGCTACGAGCGCTAATTGAACGGAAGTAACATCTCAAAAGATTCACTTTTTGTCAAATCATTCCGTTTCTGTAATTATTACCGCTGCGCACGTGTATCGATAAAAGTTGATAAGAATCACATAACGTACGAATAACTATAGTAATGACAATTTTGGTGAAGTCTTATGACATTGATTAGTTCGACGGTTAGCAAATCCTTACTGAAGTTCGTACTTTTGCACGCAGGAAGAATATTAACAGTTGTCAGTTACGTGTAACGGCACATATGAACGTACGCCAAGTGTAATTACATCATATACTTAGAATATAGCATGATGCCTTGTGAGTGTATATATAACTTATATACATATTTTTGTATATGGGGTTATATTTATATCATATTCGTGCGTATCCCCCAAAATGGATCGTCGTCATCCGTTATTTCGATAATATATCGAACGTATTCACTATTTAGCAAGCCTCTATTAACATAAGTAACTTAATTTAGGAACGACAACTGTCCATTAGAACACGTGTCGAAAACTTGATGAGGAAGCTTAACTCATTCACTGCCGGTTGTTATTTGTACGAGCAACTCACCGATTGCTTGATTATTCAGAACTTGCGAAAGCGTAGATAACAGTGCACTATCGGCAATGAACGAGTTGGTGCACGTGCAATTAAATTTAATTAAAAAGACCGTAGACACACATAACACAGAACTCAAAAGAAAAAAAACAAAATTCAATTTCTTATGAGAAAAATCATTATACTCCAAATAAGACTCTCGTCCTATTTGACTCCATCAAGCTTAAGACTAGATACACGCGATACCAAACAGTCAATTATCTAACTTAAATATCTTTCTACTTTGAGGTTCAACCGATTGTGCTTCTTTTTTTTTATTCAAAATGTTTTTAGGATTTACAACTACCGATAGAGATTTGGTTTTTATTTATTTGCATGTGTCTGGAAAGCGAGTTTAAGGTGATTTATTTAAGAGTTTCTTCTTTATAAATGAATCTCGACTTTAAAACGATGCCACTCGAAATCTTTCACTCTACTTGCCATACTTATACATAATTTTTCTCGAATATAATTATAAGTGTATGACATCTCTGATTCAATTTATAATAACTAATCTGCAAATTCTTTGAAATTGCACTACCATAATTTTCCATATATAAACATATAATTAAAAATGATTTTC